GTCCCCCAGTCCTGTAGGGCAGACGTCTCAGAAAGGCCTCCCACTTTCTGTTGAGAATAGAGGGAGCTCTAGGAATGACAAACTAAATTATGTTCTCATTCTTCTGCTGAGCAAGGGAGTTAGATGACTAACAGTGAACGTGTCTTTTCTAGAGAGGCTTTTTCCTTTCTGGTCCCTTTCTCCCTAACCCCTCACATCCTCAACAGATCCCTTTTTGTGAAATGCTGGGGAAAGGCCATATGGCTGTCACGACTCGAGAGAGAAGGAAAAGCAGTGCCCAGGGCAGCGTTTTCCGGAGGACAAGCTAGGCCTTCTCGCCAGGCAACTTGGACCAAAGTTGCATGAACTGTGGCCCAACGAGAGCCCGGAGACTTGTGGATTTCTGACTAGTCAGCCAGGGAGTCAGTGGCTGAGCACTGTAGTGACTGGAAAGGTAAGATAAAGTCAGGTGCTTCTATAATTTCAAGCCTTTGGTTAAATTCGTTTTGGGAAGGAGTCTACTTTGATGGCTCTGATAAGCTCCTTGTGTCTGGGCCTGGTGGGTTCAGCCTCTGGTTGTTTTGTGAACAGGAGCAACGCTGGCCTGTGGCAGCGGGAGTGAAAAGAGAGGAGTGTAGGGAGGCGGGGCGGGGGGGGGGGGGGGTGGGGGGGGTGGCAGGGGGGAGGGTCTTGTTGCTGTATCGGGTCTGCGACTGGGGCCGGCCCTGGGTTGAGCTTTGTTCAGAACCACTGAGCAGTGAAACCATCCCAACTCCTCCCTCCTCCCTGTTGCCACACGTGAAGCTATGTCTTAGGAGACGGGAGTCAAAGGTTTTACGTAGAAAATCTACATCTTTGGAAAAGAACCCAAACTAAAAACTCTGTCAAGTTTTTCACAGAGGATCACAGTGGTCGCCAGTTCTTATAGCAGATGCTTTGAGGCCACGGCAAGTCCTAAGGTACTTAGTTTTTCCTAACATTTTGAGGGACGCTTTGAGAACCCATGAAAGGTAAGATGTTTATACACATAAAAATTTACAGACTATTTGGGATTTCAGGTCCAGGAGGCCGTCCATGGACCTTTAAGGACCTCGGGGGCCCTAAGTTTGGAACCTGTGGTCTACAATGTTTTCCTTGGCCTAGAATAGCCGCTGGGTAGCACTCTTGGGTCTTATATATGCTTTCTGAGAAATCTGGGGGTGCCACGGAGTGAACAGCAAACTAATGCCACATTCTGCCACTTTTATCTAGTATTCACCCTGTCCCCTCTCAATGATTCAATATCCTTGTCAAGAGGATGTCTAGCCTCTGATAAAAAAACTTCCAGTGACAGGGACTCCCTGTGTTCCCCAAGACACACCCTAGTTTGTCACTGTGCCTATTTAAGAGTACTCTGAACCTAATCAACAAAACAAACAAACAAGCACATTAGAACCAGAGTCATAGAAATAAAGAACAAACTGACAGTGAGGTCGGGGGGAGGGAGATAACAAGGAAAAGAAGGAGAAGGGGCAAGTCAAAGAACGTGAAGAGACTCGTGGGCGTGGACAATGGAGTGGGGATTTGACTGCGGGGGTGAGGGAGGGGTGGGCGGGGCAGGGGGGGACAAGGGGGAAAAGGCGGGACAGCTGTAATTGAACAATAATTAAAAAACTTAAAAAAAAAAGAATAGAACTTAGACTAATAGTTCAAGTGATTCAGTTAGATGATGCCTAGCATTGGCGTCAGGCACACGTTTGCTAAAGGTACCCCTGACTTTCTCCATTCATTCACTTCTTCATTGATTCTGTCAACCAACCATTCCTTTATTTAACAGACATTTCCTAGGTGTCCGTTTTGTTCCGGAAACACTCTAAACACTGGAAGGGATGCAAGAATGAATAAGAAATTGTCTCTGTGCGTGTTTTCATTCCAAACCAGCGCTCCAGAGCTTATTGCTCTAAAATCCCCTCTAGGTTGGCAATCAGCTATCGGCTGATGTAGGCATACTAGGTCCTCTCTCTTCCATTTCCTTTCCCACAGTTTATCTTTCCCCTCTTTTCCCAAATGAAAACAGCTCCCTGTTGACATTTTCTGGTTATGTGCACCTTCATTGTTACTCCTATAATTCAATACCAAAGAGTGTCTCCCTTGCTCCTAATGAACTTCTTTCTCCTGCCTTCCTTGGAGCCTGTACCATTTTTCTAGTCTTTCGCCTCTACTTCCACCCAGAGGAAAAATGTATGGCCTGATCGGGCGTCTTTCCCTCTTTCATTACAGTGGTGTTTTTCTTGTAAATCCTGCCCCGCAGTGTGGTGTTTGTGGCCTTGTCAGGCCCATGGCAAGTGCCTCACTAGAGTAACACTGGTCCTACTCATAGGGGATTGCAATATCGGTTGCAATAGTTCTCATTTATCTCACAAGCTCCCAGAAGTTGTGGCTGTAAGTACAGCCTAGGAAATACAGTTGATCATACTGTAATAGCTATACATGCTGCCAGGGGGCACTAGACTTATTGGGGGCATCACTTTGTAAATTATCTTATAAATGTCCAACCTCTTTGTTGTACACCTGAAGATGATATAGAATAATGTTGAATGGCAGCTATCATTGAAAAAGAAGTTGTGGTTGTGTATCAGACTCGGAGGTAGCTGGCCATAGATAATGTAGGGAAAATGTCGATTTTCAAATAAAGGTGTAATATGCATTAAAATGTGATTGAAACGTGACACGGCTGCTTTTTATCCTTTTCCCAGAGACTTTTAGAGGTGACGTCTCTTCCCTGTAGTCCAACATATACACGGCCATCAGCCACGTTGCCTCTCTAAATCCTGTCGGTTTTTCATGGCAGGTGCGACCACTTCCAGGAAACTTTCCCTGCCCACCCGAGCCCTGGGCGATCTCTGCCTGGCTTATTCCATTGGTGAGCACCGTCTGCTCACACACAAAATGCATTCTTCACTTTGCAGTCTTCTTTGCTATCTCCTGTATATATTCTCGCATGTGGGTTTTCCTGTCGGGTATTTAGATTTGGATGAGCTTTTATAGACTTTTTGGTTGGGGTTTTTAAGTGAGCTGCCACCTAAGCTATTTGCTTCCCCTATTCCATCAGTTGGAAAGGTAGCAGATGCCTGTATGATGTGATGGAGGAACACCAGGAGGAACTATCTTACAGCCCAAAGCGTTTCCCCCAGTCCTTCTTGGTGCCTGAGCACTCAATGAGACTTTGATTGCTTTGGTTGTTTCCTGACCGTGTTCACTTTGAAAATGCTAATAACCATATGCTCCTACTTCAGTCAATATCAGGAAAGGGGCCAGGGATGTTAAACCACCCTCCCCCTTTACCTGGGACTACTCTACTTTTTTTTTAATGGACTGAAATTTACCTAAAACTTTATTTATAAGCCATTCCACTGCGCAAAGAATTATTTTTGAAAACTGTTTATAGCATAGCAGGTACGTTTCAAACTTTAACATGCACAGGGATCCTCTGGGAGGCTGGTTAACATTCAAATTGCTGAATTTCCTCCCATGTTCCCCTGAGTTTTCAATTTGGCAGGTCTACGGTAGGGCCTGATCATTTGCATTTCTAACAAGCTCCCAGATGCTGCTGCTGGTCAAGAGACCATACACTTGGGAAACTACTGCTTTAGGGAAATGTGTTAACAGCTTCCAAGAATTCTATAGCAAAAGCACTGCTAGCGGGTGGGGATTTGGGTTGGAGAGGGCATGGGAGAGCGCCTCCAGAAGGTAAGTTGACTGGCTCACAAAAAAAAAAAAAATCAGTCTCCCTGTTGATTGTGTTTATTTTGAATCACTTCATCTTCATATCTGAAGTAAGAAGACATGGGACCACAAGGCATGCTCCCCGCCTTTCCCTTCCCCTTCTTCTTCCCCCCGGGCATGTTACGTTTGCCTTTGTCAGTCCGAAGCGCCAAGGACCCTTATTTTACCTCTGTAACTTGTTTCCTGAGCCCACGCAGCCCAGCTGGCTCACTTCCGCTACCTCTGTAACTTTCTAAATACACTTTCTCCTATAAAATAAATAAGTAAAGTAAAAAGCCACCCATTAGGCTTTGGGCACTAAACTAACCCCAAAGGAGGATTTCCCTACGCCCAGTCCTAAGCACAAGTGGGAGTACCATAAGAGCTGTTGATCCAGACTTTCCTGAAGCTTTGGGTCACGTCTAGGTTTAATGCCATGGAATTGGCAAGGACTTCCGATAGGGCCCTAGGTCATGCTAATACCGGGAATGATGGCTCATCGAGAGCCTAGGCAGCGTGATGCTGGCATCAGATCCTAAGGAGCTGGAGAAAAAGAAGCTAACCCACTAATCCTATCCCAAGTACAAATCAATACAATTAGACAGCGGGGACAATATAAAGACAATTTTATTGCCAATAAAAGCCTTTAATAACTCATTTATCCCATTTCAGTAGGACCTTATTCTTTCTGATGAAAATCCAGTCATAGCATCTCTCATTAAAAATAAAATTATTTTGAAATAAATAAATATATAAAATAAATAGCATATACATTTCATAAATAGTTTGTCCTTATGCACAGTATCCATGCTTACATTTCAATAGCATTTTCTTGCAACCTACCCCATCTCCCACTTCCAATGGCAGGAAAACTGCATGTCAGGACAGATGCGAAACCTGCAGAGCCCATGCAGGCGTGCCTTGTAGCCCTGAGGGTTTTCCGAATGAGACTTTTCCAAAGCTCCGTAGGTAGCGTCTGTGGCGGATATTTTGGTCTTTCATTTACCTATGGTCAAGGTATTTGGGTAGATTGTGGGGCAAGAACGCCCCTGGCCCCCTGGCAGGGGCCCTCGTTCTTTCTCTTGCCACCTCAGGGGAAAGAACATGAGTAAAGAAAAGAGTATATACAAGATTCCCTCTAGCCCGCCCCTCCCCCCACATCCCTCCCCAAAATAACCCAACCTTGATATACACTTTGAACAACAAGGGAACAGCTGGGTCGAGTTGAGCAGCAAGTGCTTCTCTGCTATCTAAATTGATAGGAAAGAGGACTGAAAAGCTATGCGTGCAACTGTGGCCCCAGAGTACACGGGTTACAGAGGTCACACTAGGGTCCGTTACCTATAGCGGAAGAGGTCTCTGGACATGGAGGGCAACTTAGAAGGATCTACTGGCCTGGGTAAAAAGTGAGTGAATTTCTGGTGTCGTTTAGTCCTGTATCCCTCCCGGGGTGAGCCGTCTTTGTTCAGAGCCACATAATACTGTCTCTCCGAGTCCGAGTGTTTGTACAAGGTGGAAGCATAGGTGTTGTACCAGTTTTCTTCAAACTGTTCCCGGAAAACACATTCACGCGTGAGTTTCTTCTGTGAGGGGGAGAAAATAAAGCAGAGCCCATTATATGACTATTTCTCCCATCCCAGCTTGCTGGTGGAGAACCCTGAAATAGCAATAGCACATCGATATTAGAAAATTTCAGTCCTATCTCCCAAATTACTGCGGTATCTTCTGAGGTGTTATTGCGGTATCTTCTTTCCAAATAGCACCAAACAATCCTATCTGTGTCACCTTCATCCTCTCTCATGAGTCACACAAAAATGCTTTAGGTGGCAGCTTTCCGGAAAGCAGGAGACTGGAGGAGATTTTGAGCCTGAGATTTTTCTTTTCTTTTCTTTTTAAACATTTTTGTATTGAATTTATTGGGGTGACATTGGTGAGTAAAATTATACAGGTTTCAGGGGTACAATTCTACAGTCGAGCCTGCGAGATTTTTCTGAGCCTGAGAGTTTCTGCTACGGGTACCCCTGAGTTTTCTGCCTGCTTAGGGCTAAGGATGTTCCAATCCACTGAGATTCCAGTCAGCCGTGTCAACTGATAGGCACAGGCCTTGGATCTATATAAAGTCCCACGAGAGGTGAGCTGTGAGCTCTCCTGATGAAGGGTCTCAGGCCTGTCAGTTGGAAAGCTCAGAAAAGATCTCCTTGCACAGTTCCTCCAATCTGGCTACTTCAAGCTAGCAGCTCCTGGGTCTCTTGCCTCTGTCCCTTCTCACACTTGATCCAGCCGCCATAGTACTTGCCGGGGTGGCCGATACCGAGTGCTGGGGACGGGCCTATCACTTAGGTGTCAGGGAAAAATGCGCTCTGATTTCAAGGGGCGCAGGCAGCCGGAAAGCATGCTATGGGACTCAAAAGCCAAAGCCACGAGTTGGGATCCCCGGAAGGGGTTAAGGTCAGCAAAGTCACCGCCCGGTCCCCAGCTCTTGGCTGGCTTCCAGAATAGAGACCGTGCTGCGGCCACCCCAGGAGCCTTCACTCTTCATTTATTTGTTTCATTTGGCCTTTGGGACCCCGCAGAAGCAATCTGGAACTCAGGAACTGTATTGTTCATCTCAGGATCCTCAATCTGAAGGCCGGCTCTTTCTCTGCCTGTTCTTGTGCCGGCCAGTCTGCCGCTCCTCTGGGCACGCATTAAAATTCAGACGTGCTCCTCAGGAGTGCGCATGCCCCAAATCCTTACCGTCTACTAACCAACCAGTGCAGTTTCCCATTATCATCACACTAGCTGGCCCCCCGAATGGAAAAGGCGAAAGCAGCAAAGCTTATGTTTCTGATGGCGGCTGAATCAGTGAAAGTGTTACGTAGCAACTTCCCATAGCAAGTTCCTGGGCAGCCACAAGTGACTAGGAGATGCTAATGTTTTACCATTGGCAGAAGTGTTTTCAAGCATCAGATAAAAGTCTTACACTTTTGCCTTACATCATCCAAACACTGGTGGTCATCCCTCCAATAAAAAGAAAACCTCCAACTTACCGACCCATAGAGCTCTCCTCGCTCGTTCATTCCTAAGTATAGGCCAGAGTCCACTCCACGGATGCTGATCAGCCCCACGGCCAGGCTGATAAACTCCAGGATGCCTAGAGCCAAAAAAGTGAGTGCCATTTCTGTTACTGCCACCAAGCTAAGAAGAAGCTGTGCATGCAACACGAGCTACCAGTCATTCATCCACAACTGCAGGGAAGCCCCGGGTGCCTTTGGTGAATGACCTGATTAAACCGTCTTTTGCAGCAAGAACAGAACCACAGAGAAGACACTGAGTCTCTCTGGACCTCAGTTTTCCATACGTGAAATGGGGGAAACCCATCTCTGGCTCTACTCAACCCCCTCAGGCATATTATGAGGGAGAGACCAGACTGTGAGAAGGCTTTGGCTACAAAGGATCCTAATGAGCCCTGGTTGGTGTGGCTCAGTGGGTTGAGCACTGGCCTGTGAACCAAAGGGCCACCAGTTCAATTCCCAGTCAGGGCACATGCCTGGGATGCGGGCCAGGACTCTGGTAGGGGGTGCGCGAAAAGCAACCACAGATGCATGTCTCTCTCCTTCTCTTTCTCCCTCCCTTCCCCTCTCTCAAAAAAAAAAAATAAATAAAATCTTTAAAAAAAAAAGATTGTAATGACAAGCTACAATGCCTGTTAAATTCCACCATTCCAAGAAATGGAAGGGCAGCTTCCTAAATGGGAGAATGTGACCAGGTTGCTGTGTCTTCCCTGAGTCCCTTCCCTCCTCCCTCGAGCACATAGCATTACCTCCCTGTCCTCTAGGTTGAACTTGTTTTGCACCCTCTTAGCTCCCATGTCCTTAAAGCCACATGAGGCTGTCAACTGCCTGTAGCTGACTCTAACAAAGGCCACACAGGCCACTCACTAAGTTTGTTTCTCCTGCCATAGGCAGGGCGCAAAACTTGGCCTGGTAAGAGCTTTCTCTGAAAAGCGCTCTCAGCCAGTGCAGCCCCAGGCTGACAAGCCCGTCATTCTCCCCTTCTCTCTTGAGCGTTTCAAGTTTATCCCTGGCAAAAAGTTGGCAGGTAGTATCAGACTTGGTACTGATTTTAGATGTTGCAACTTTAAGGGGAAAGAGAAGACATTCAGAAACGTCCCTCTAGCTGACAAGGTTAGAGGCGACGATTTCAGACCATTTTCATTTACTGAGCAGCAGTAAGAGGAAAAACAAGAAATGAACCACTAAGAGGGGAAAAGGACCAAAAACTGACATGGCTGGTAACCCTGATGACTTTATACTTCATCCTCAAATAGCATATCTATTATATGGAAGCACATTCATGATATGGATGCACATATAATGGACAACTAGCTTCCTCTGAGACATTCCTGTCTCTGACCACGCTTTTCAATGCACAGACCCACACTTGATCCGATCGACTCCCAGAGGCAGCCAAAGGTATGAAATAAGCTCATACCTGGCTGTCTTTCTTATCCAAAAATGCAATTCTTAAGGGTAATAATATTCTATGTGACCTACATACAAAGTGAGACTGATTTCTTCAAGATCCCTTAAACACGTCAGAGGCTAATTTTGAAATCAGGTTCAGAACTCCAGCGGGAAGTCTAAAGAGCCTCGGTGACTCGCGCTGGCGGCGGGCGGGGGTGGGGGGGGCGCGTTCTTGTGCGCCCCCTCTAGGGCTCATGTTTCCACGGCCCATTTGAAGAACATCAAGTCCTTTGGCTGCCACTGTGCAGAACACTCACAATGTAGCCTTTGGCCTCCAGCGTCGAAGTCCTCCAAGTTTTATTCTCAGTCTGGTTGTCACAGCACAAAGAAAGGAGTTTGGGGAAAAGAGGTCCACACAAGATGGTAGGAGGGGAAGGGAAAATACTTAGCGCCGAGTAACGGTTATGCAGATGCTGCTTTAAAGGGCCAAAGGCTTTAGTCGCAACGTACAACGCTCTGATTTCCGTGCTGCCCTGTTTAACATTTTAATAAATGACTTGTAAGAGGACATGGAGGGACTGCTTATCCTCGTTCCGGAAGACATACAGCTGAGAGGGTGACACAAACAAAACCCAAAGAGATTTCAAGAGAATGGAAAAGTGGGCTGACTCCCACAAAAGAAGCTTTAGTTAGAAAAAAAATGTACAGTCCCGCACTTTGGTCCCCAGACCAATACCCGGGATGTTTTGTGTTTGGGGTTTTGGGGCGGGGAGGGCGAGCCTCAAGCACAGACAGTTGAGTAAATCATGCTGCTTTTTTGCGCCTATTATCATAATTGGTCCAGGGAAGGGCTTTTCATTGATCTATTTCTTTCTTTTTATTTCCATACTCGGCTCCCACCCTGCTCCCCACTTCAGGCAACCATGTATATTGTCTTGAAAACATGTACTGTTCTTTTCTGTTTCCGTGCGTTTTTCTCTAACGCGAGTCTGCCCATTTTGGAATGGGGAGATGTGGCTTTGCAAAACACACACAGCAACGGCTTAGCGGACTTGATCGAAGAAGGTCAGCTTAGTACAGGGGGTTCACGAGAGTATGTTGTGAAAGAGCTGATGTAAAACGAGTCATGTCACACCCCAAAAATGGTTAAAAAGCTAACGTGGGAAAAAAGGAAAAAAAGCTAACGTGGTTTGGGGCTGTACTGACACAGGTCTAGCAAGTGGCTGCAGGGAGGGCCCTGGCCCGCTCTGCTCCGCCTTAGTTAGGCCGCACGGACAGGAGCTGCTTTCAGTTCTCCTGCGTTTAAAGAGGGCTCCAGACAAAGAGGAGCACATTCAAGGGGGAACAGCCAGTGTGGCGAGGAAATGAGAAACCGGGTCCCGCGTCAGTTCCGGGCGCGAAGCGTTGAGGGATACCCACCCGCGGGGGGCCTTCAGTCCTTTGCTCTGCTCAAGCAGATTACTTCTGAGCTTCAAGCCGTAGTTCCCTCATTCTCGAAGTATCTCATGTCTCTAGCCACCCTGAGCTCATTAAGTAGCCGAGGTCAGCTTGTGATCTCACCATCCAAGACCTGGTGTGAGAACAAATCATGAAACCCAAGAGGTGTGGTCATTTGAGTCACCACAGTTTTTCTCCAATTCTCTGTTAACATGATGCCAAAGGACAGATCATACAGGAAGTCACTTGGGTTGTGTCCAGTAACAGGGGTCTCCAACAGCTGGAATCATCGCTGCCCAGCTGTCTTGGGGCATCATTCCCCTCTGCCAACTTTCCTATTAGCTGGATTCAGACTGTGGGAACCCGGTGGCACATGATGATGGAACAGATATTCCTAAACCTTCTCCTGAATCCCAGCCAGCACGAAGGGAGAGAGAAAACAAGCCATTTTCTCATTTTCCCAGCTACAGCTGGAGAGGGGTGTTAACAGCAAAGTGCTGAGGCGAAGTATTAAGTAGACAGAGTTTGTCCTCAGCGCTCTCACCGCCTCAAAGCCCCGCACCTCCCTCTGCTGCGCCACATCTCGACCTGCCCACCTCAGCTCTGCACTTTGCTCCACAACTCCCGGGTCGCAGCGCCTCAGAGCCTAGCCAGGGGACCGGCTAATGTGTCATTTAATCTGCCTCCATAACTGGCCCGAGCTCCCTCAGCCATCCTTTCAGACCTTCGTGGCCAAGACAGTGCTGCCTTGGCACCCTGCCAAATAAGAACCAGATCGCTCAAAACCCAAAGCAGCTGCAGGAGCCTGCTCCATCCCACCTGGCGGGAGGCCTCTCCTCCAGTCTGGCTCCCAAGCCCTCCTATGCCAGTCCGCAGGTGCCCCTCGAGAATGTCAGTACCCCTGTGAACCTCCTGTAAATGCCACCAGCCAGGCAGAGACTGAAACACTCCTGGCTACTGATTGCAGAACGGGGGTGTTGGGGGGGGGAGGGGAGGATAGGCTGTGCCAACAGGTTATTATTTGGAGTCGGGGCTGCTCTTGGGCTCAGCCCGACTCGTTCTGAACACATGGATTCCAGGGTAATCCTTGGGGGCCCTGCTCTCCAATTACAACAAATAGCTATTTACTTTACATGGCCTTTGGAGACTACCTCCTCCCCCCAAGCAGAAATCTATAATATTTTATATCTTAAGTCTGGCCTACTTTACCCTGCTGGAATGTTGACTGCTAAAGCACTTATGGAATGTTAAAGTTTCGATTTATTGAATACCCTGGCTGATTAACTCCAATGTGGAGGGAGGAGTTAGCAGACGCAAACGCCACCTCTTTCTTTGCCAAAAGCTAGACTGAGAAAGAGTGAATGTGTGTTTGGAAGTTGGCAGGGGAGGTTACAAAGAGACAGCTTTGACCAGTTATCATTTCCTCTACAGGAAATCCACGGAACTGCCAGGAAGCCGGGGAAGGAGGAAAGGGAAAAGGTGAGGCCGAGGTGGTCTCGGGCAGGCTTCGTTTTGTTGTTGTTGTTGTTTTTAAGGCAAAACCCAAAATGAAGCAGTCAGTTAAGCAGCAGTGAAAACATCCCTTCCTCCTGCCAGTTTTATTTCCTTTGGTTTCTCCTTAAACTTAACACCCTTAGCAGGCCCGAGAGATGAAAAGAAATCGAGATGTGTCCTTAGGGAGGTAATTAAAGACCACTTATCCCAAGAGCCTATTACTGATTTATGTTGACCTTGTAGGTTATTGGGCTCAGCTTAGGCACAGAGTCAGACAAACACTTGTAGCCGCTGGGAGCCAAGCTCACAGTTTCTCCACCTCTGCTGCCCCCACCCAACGTTTCTCCATCATTTCATGATTTTCCTTTTATATATCAGCAATGAGCTACTCCAATATTTTTCGGCCCCTTTTGGGAGCCTTTGGGGGGCTCTGAGGCCAAGGTGGGAGCCCCACTGCCTCTGAAGAGGAACAAAAGGGGGCTGCGAAGTCATAAGCGATGGAAGGAAAGGAAGCCAAGTTCCCACTGCCTCTCCCTCCACGCCACCTTATCACCCTTTTGAGGACGTGCTGCATGTTTATACAGACACCTGCACCCCTCCATTACCCCCACCCCACACGCAACCCACTGCACTCCAGCTCTGTGAGTGCATTTTTCCAAGATGACATAGACCTCATTAGGGTTCCTGCTTGCTCCCAGCAAGGAAGACCAGCCCTGGCCCTAAGTTGTTTGCTAGGCTTGGCCTCTGCGCCTGCCCCCCCTCCCCCTACTGGATGGGGAGTTTTGCCCGCAGTGAAGGAGGGTGGGAAAAAGATGGGAACTTATCATGCCTGAAGGTAGGCAAAACCTCTCACGGGCTTAGAAATAGAAGGTATGCTTGGGCTGCAGGGTCCCTGGGAGGAAGTGGGGACACTGGGGGCCGCAGGGCCCGAGGAAGGGTACCTGTCACAGCACCTGAACAATGGTTTAGCAGAGAATAGGGAATGGAACCTGTAAAATGGCCAAATGATGGGGGAGTGAACACAACTGCGTGGAGACCTAAGGATCTCCGTCTCAGATCAAGGTTTCGATTAATCGCGTTCTGTCTGTGAGACGGACAGCTGTGCCCTTTGAACAGTCCGCAGAACGGCAGGAGGACACAGGCAAAATCCCGGACGGACGCTGGACGTTTCCTGTCCTGGGCCCAGGAGACACCTGTTTCTGTGGCTGGGAGTGGGCCCAAGACCGTTTCCTCCCTGAGGCAAGGAGCCCACAGGTGGCTCCGGGCAAAAGCCACCCCAGGGCTGGCGGCCTTACACAGCGGACAGCGGACGGCTTCCCTAGTTTCCCCAACACCCGGCTCGCGCCGTGCTGCTGCCCGGATGGGCCCCCGGCCCGGGCAGAGCAACCGAGAGGCGGCAGGTGCCGGCCAAAAGCGACCTGGATGTGGGCCGCCCGCCCACCACGTCCGTGGCCCACGAAGGCTCCTCGTCCAGGCCGTCGCCCGCGACGACCCTGCCCTCGAGGCTCAGCCCCGCGCCGCAGCGGTGGCGGTCCCTGACTTCCTCGGCGGGGGCTCCTACCCCTCTCCCAGCTTCACCTGCTTCCATCCGAAGCAAAGCGTCCAGGTACCCGAACGATCCCTTCGCACCCAGGAGGAGGAGGGAGGGTGGAGTGGAGAAAGGAGAGGCCGCACTTCAAGGCGCCCGCGCCCCCCCTCCCCCGTCCCTCCCGAGCGTCTCAGGGTGCCAGGCGCCCTGACGCCGTGCGGCTCAAGTGTGTACCGTCGTGTCCCGCCTGCCCCGCGTCCCCGGCGGCCTTCCGCCTCGACGGCACCGAGCTGGGGGCGGTCCGCGGGGCCCCGAGCCGGAGCTCGGAGCCGTCGGCTCCCCAGCGCGCCGTCCGTCCGCTCGCCTCCCGTCCCTCCCGGCCGCGTCCTCACCGAAGCGGCTGTGGTCGTGGCGGGTGCCGTGCACCGTGCCGTTGGGGAAGATCTCCAGGTGGAAGCCGGTGCGGCAGTACAGCTGGCGGCGCCGCAGGATCCCCTTCAGGTGGGCGAAGTCTGTGGGCGAGCCGCGCTGCAGCTTTCCCTCGATCTGGCCCAGGCGCTCGTTCAGGAAACCCGGGGAGTCAGCTAAGGGCACGTTCCCCAGAGACGAGGAAAAACCGTGCAGATCCCAGTCCAAGGAGGCGAAGACCCCCCCCACCTCCGCCATGGCGGGGTGCGCGGGGCCGAGCCGGGTAGGAGGTGCGCGAACTGCCTCTCCCCGCAGCGGGCGTGGGCGATTCGCCGGCGCTCGCTTGCTCGCTGCTCCGCGCTCTGCAGAGCTGCAGTCGACGTCTGTTCGCGTCCAAGGAACTTCTCAGCGGCGGGGAGCGTGGGGCAGCGCGCTTCTGACCTTGCTCTCAGTCAAAGTGCCGCTTTCCCTCCGCATCCATCTCCCCAGGCCTCTCATAGCTGCCTTCGTCGAGGTATCGGATGCAAACGGCACTTTATATACGTACCCACTCCCCTTACATTGACATATTGGATATTTAAATACAAGCCACACCTCACTGGCATCCCCTCGGAGATTGGTGTGTGGGTTCTTTTTTTTTTTCCTCCTTCTCGTATCCATTTGGCTCTTTTTGGGAGAGGGGGGTGGAGGGGGGAAGAGAACGAGCGAGCTTCACTCCCTCTTTTATTATGAAAAAATGGCAGGAAAAAGCTACACATTGCAGTGAGGCATAACTGCTTTTGGCAGGTTTTTCTGAAACTGCTGATGAAATAACGGAGCCCAGTGCGTTGGGGCTGCTGGCGCCCACGGCCACTCAGGCCCGTTGCGTGGAGTTCTGTCTGCTGCGCGGGGGCAGTCCCCACCTCCCACGCAGCCTTGGGAAAGTGTCCTGAGACCGGGATCGGGGCGTTCCCCCTTTCCTGAGCCCCTCTTGTGCCCCGGCGGCTCGGAGGCTGCAGAAGGGGTGCCTGGCCTGGGACAGGGGCTCCTTGGTTTCTTTGTTCTGTTGCCCCCCCTCCCCAGTCCCACTCCCCACCTGTAGGTCGCCAGGGGGCTGAGGAAGTGAAAAATCCGGAAGCGAATGCTGTTGCAAAATTTGGGATTGGGGGTGGCGGCGGTCCCTGCAGGCATCAAGGCGGGGCCTTAAGGGGTCTGGGAGGAGCGGGAAAGCCCACGGAGGAAAGAAGACATTTTTTTTTTTAAGGGACGTTACAGCTTAGAAGAAGGAGGGGGGAGTAAGAAATAGAAAGCGATCTTTTTGAAAAATGATCTCCACTGGCTTTCTGGGCGCGCTTTTACAAGGCTCTGGAGAGCAGGCTCGATGAGGGGCCATTGGAAGCCTGGTAGGGGCTTCCCCCCACCCCTTTTCTTGTTGGAAACAGGTGTTTCCTCGCTCTGTCCCGTGCCCTGCTCGGAGATATTCTATCAGGAAGAGCGGCAGTTGGGACGGGAACTGGCGGCACTCAGGGCAACGGGCAGCACTCAAGGCAACGGGCAGCGTCGAGAAGAACGGAGAGCAGGTGCCCGGCCTGCCCCGCGACCCCCGCACCCCTGCCCGGCACCCGAACCCTGGGGCCCCTCTCAGGCCCTGGCGCTGAGCGTCCTGCTCGCTTACTAAACTGCGTCGTCGCTTGCACTTTGCACCCGCAGCGGGCTCTGGTCGACTTCTCCCGCTCCGGCAGCAGAAACAACAGAGCGAGCATCCCCCGCCCCGCCTTTGCAGCGCCTCCTGCTGGAGAATCCGTGACTCGCGGCGGGTTCGAACTCAGGGTGTCCATTAGGGGAGAAAACAGATTCAGCTCAATGCATTCAGCAATTTGAGGTCCTGGTGCTGGGCTCCCTCATGCGCCCCTGCTCACTCTCTGGTTCCGTGGCGATTCTTGGTTCGGAACATTGTGTCTCGGTTGTGGTGTGTCTCCCTAGCTCAGCCAGAGCCTCCAGAGCCCAGCGTAAGGTCTGGCACATAGTAGGTGCTCAGAAATCATCTCCTGATAATGCTCCCAGTGGTAGGGAACACAGGTGCAAATGCTCTTTAAACTGTAGGGGACACAGAAATGCAAAAGGTGGCACCCATACTGGAGTATTTATGGATGAAATAGCAGTCTCTATGGGATTTGCTTTAAAATAATCCAGAGTGAGAAGGCAAGATGTGACAATATTGTCCTGTGTTACTAGTTGTTGAAGCCGCGTGATGAGTACATGGGCGTTCATTATGTATTTCTTCTACTCTCTATAAAAGTCTACACACATGAAACTTTCCATAATTAAAACTTTAAAAATGGGACTGACATAAAACAACAAAGAAATCATTCTTTCCTTTTCTGTTCCTCCCCCCTCCCCGAAGATTTTGTGGATCTAGTGAGAAGGTAGGGAAGGAGGGACAGAGGTTCAGACCAGTATGTCAGTGACTAGAATACAGAGCAGTATAGTGTGCACAGCTGTATAAGATGTAGAGCACTGTGTGCATTCATAAAGCAGAGAGAAGGCTGTCGGGGGCCTCAGGGCCAGGTTCTGGACCAAGCTGGCCTTTGTAGAGGATGAGCCTTGAAGGGAACATGGGAAGGATTTTGCAAATTCAGGTGGACCACTTCCAGAAAAGGGAAACTAGTAACAAAGCAAGTGGAACAATTTTTAAATGGTAAAGACCAATTCTTGGGGGTTTTTAGCGAACGTCAGGTGAAATACTGTAGATGAAACTGCTTTGAGAAGTATGGGACATAAAGAATTTAGGTGCCTCTATGATGATATAAATAATGCATCGATAATTCCCTCAACAGTCGCCTCGGGGACCTTCTGCATTCTTTGTCCCTGAACATTCCCAAAGTCACCAAGCACAGTTGCAGACCTGGAGGCCTACGTGATCAAAGGTCAGAGATACAAACACCCCATTGCCCTTCTGCGACTCTTTCCGGATTAAGCTGGTGATCGTGTTTTAAATAATGTTTCTACGAAGTGTCCCAATGACTGAGCACTTCCACGGAAGTGATTTAATTTTCACAACCTCATGGAGCAGAAGGTGCCATCACCGCCATTTCAGAGGTAACGTTAAGTGACTGGCACACAGTCATATCGTTAATAAGGAGCAGAGGAATAATTTGTTCTCAGATCCACAGGGGCAAACTACTCTCCATCTCTAGGCGTTGGGATTATGTAAAGGCCCGTGTGTTTAGGCCTGTGAGATTTCACAGTACTCTGGTTTCCAGAAAATCCTCAGCCAGACACACTCTGCAGCCAGGGTTGCGCTGGATATATGGGATGAGAGAAAGGTGTAGAAAAAAGCAGCAGCCCTCACTGGATTCAGGACGTCATTTGTAAAGCGAAGGGGTGGCTGTACCCCTTCACGGTGGTATTGTGAGGACAGAATGAAATCAGTGCTTGAACGTGGCCAGGATTCCTTCCTGCCACATGGAAGACACAACGCACCTCAGATGCTCTCCTCCTTCCCTAACACCTCACAGGCCTGATATGAAGAAGGAGCCGGCCTCTGTGCAAAGGGAGGAGGGAAAGCAAAATTCTTTAAGAAAAAGGGCAGTTGTGACTCAGGCTGTAAGTGACCAGAGGCGGGGGCTGGGGGGGGGTTTACCTGCTGGGATCGGTCCCCTGAGGAGGGAGAGAGTGATGCTTATCAGCTGGTGCCCCCTCCCCGCGCGCGCGCACGCGCGCGCACACACACACACACACACACCCACACACTCACACACACACACCCCCCCAAAGAGCGGGAAAGGATGTCCGGGATAGTCGTTCTGTCCAGTTCTTCATTTTCCCGATAACGTCTACATGTTTTTTTCCTTCCTAGTTTATTTCCCTTGAGAAGGGGCAAGAGGAGGCTTACTGCATCGAAGCATATCCTGTGGGGAGCGCAACCAACCAACAGCACTTGCTCCTGTTCACCGAGCACTTAGCTTGGGTTAAGCATTGCCCCGGCAGGCACTCTACAGGCATCATCTCCCTAAGCCTTATCCCAACTCCAACAAATAGTTTTATTTGCATGAGACAGACAAGGAAGCTAAGGCTCAAAGACATTCAGTAGCTAGTAGCAGAAGTAGGACTTGAACCCCGATCTTAAGTTAGGACCTAATCACAACACACACACACACACACACACACACACACACACTGCCTCAGTCTATTTACTTCACAAAGGACTTGTATTGCTCTTTTGTCCTTTGTTCCTGCTGGCCTTCTCCTCCTGCTTTCCTCGTGGACAGTGACAGAGTCTAGTGGTTACACACTTTATCTCTGGTGTCAGACTCCCTGGGTTCAAGTCCCAGCCGGAAGCCATTCTAGCCTCAGTTTCCTCTTCTGTAAGATGCAGATGACAATGATGATGATGATGATGATGATGATAATCTTCACTGCCTAGGGTCGCTGTAGGTTTAAATGAAAAAAATACACAGAATGTACCAAACCTGTGCCTGGCACCTAGTAAGGGGTCATTGTGCTTAATATTATTTATACTCTATCCAGCCCCAGTTATTCTTTTCTCCCCAGGTTTCCTCAAACTATGCTCCTTTTTTTTTCCCTGAGAGAAATGAAGTAGATGAGGACACAGTGCATTTGAGTTCCAATTCTATGACTCTTTATGTGTGTGATACTGGGTCAGCCTTGTTCTCTCTGGGCTTTAGAAGGCCTGCCTCAGAAACAGGGTGACTTCACTGTCACCTCTGTGTGGGCAAGCCGGAAGTGAGGGAGTGGAGGTCGGAGAAAAAGAGGAAATCGCTCATTTGTATAATTCCGTTTACTGAGTGCCCTAAGTGCCAGTCACTACAGCCACCCCCTCCCCGCTTATTCACGGGGGGGACGTATCCCAAGAACCCCCAGTAGCTGCCTGAAACCACGGCTAGCACTGAATCCTACATATACTATCTTTTTTGTATACCTACATGCCTTTGATAAATTTTAATTAGTAAATCAGAAACAGCGAGGGATTAATAACAATAACTAATAATACAACAGAACAATACTAGTAATAATGTAAGTACAATAAGGGTTACTTGAACGCAAGCGCTGCAATATTGCAACAGTGATCTGATAACCCAGCCGACTTCTAAGTGAGTAATGGGCGGGCGGGGAATGGATACAGTGCACAAAAGGATGATTCACATCCCAGGCAGGGCAGAGGGGGACAGTGTGAGATTTCATCACGCTCCTCAGCACAGCTTGCAATTTAAAATATATGAATTGTTTACTTCAGGAATTTTCCACCTCATATGTTT